CAAGTCTTTTGCAGACTCTAACAGGTTTTCTTCTAGGATTGCCCTGTATTTGGCTCCATCCATCTTCCCATTAACTCTGACCAGTTTTCCTGTCCTTTCTGAAAACAAATATCCCCACAACATGATGCTGCCATCATCATGTTTCACAGTGGGGATGGTGTGTTCAGGGAGATGTACAGTATTAGTTTTCTGCCACACATAGCATTTTGCTTTTAGGCCAAAAAGTTAAATTTTGGTCTCATATCATCAGAGCACCTTCTTCCACATGTTTGCTGTGTCCCCCACATGGCTTCCGGCAATTTGCAAATGGGACTTCTTATGGCTTTCTTTCAACAATGGCTTTCTTCTTGCCACTCTTCCATAAAGGCCAGATTTGTGGAGTGCACGACAGTGGACAGATTCTCCCACCTGAGTTGTGGATCTCTGCAGCTCCTCCAGAGTTACCATGGGCCTCTTGGCAGCTTCTCTGATTAATGCTTTCCTTGCCCGGCCTGTCAGTTTAGGTGGACGGCCATGTCTTAGTAGGTTTGCAGTTGTGCCAATACTCTTTCCATTTTCGGATGATGGATTGAACAGTGCTCTATGAAATGTTCAAAGCTTGGAATATTTTTTTATAACCTAACCCTGCTTTAACCTTCCCCACATCTTTATCTCTGACCTGTCTGGTGTGTTCCTTGGCCTTCATAATGCTATTTGTTCACTAATGTTCTCTAACAAACCTCTGAGGGATTCACTGAACAGTTGTATTTATACTGACATTAACCATTTCAATACCGTGCAATTTTACACCTTCCTGCCCAGGCCATTTTTCACGTTTCAGCGCTCTCTCACACTTTGAATGACAATTGCGCGGTCATACAACATTGTACCCAAACTAAAATTTTATAATTTTCTTCACACAACTAGAGCTTTCTTTTGGTGGTATTTATTTTTTGCTAAATTAACAAAAAAAGACCAAAAAGTTTGAAAAAAAAAACACGTTTTTCTTTGTTTCTGTTATAAAAGTTTACAAATAAATAATTGTTCTTCATAACTTTAGGCCGAGATGTATTCTGCTACATGTCTTTGGTGAAAATAACCCAAATTAGGATGTATTATTTAGTTTGTAGGAAAGTTATAGAGTTCACAAACTATGGTATAGATCTGAATATTGATCAATCCTGAAGTACTGACAGCCAATCTAATTTGTTGAGGTCCAAGAATGTCAGAACAGTACAGATATCCCCAAATGACCCCTTTTTGCAGAGTAGACAGTCCGACGTACTTCATAAGAGGAATGGCGAGTTTTTTGAAGTTGTATTTTTTTTGTCATAATTTTTCGGAAAATTAAAAAATTTAAAAAATTATTTTCACTATTTTTTTTTTACATACTGTCACCAGTGCAGTACAGCGTCATCATATAACTGGCATGGCGGTGAACAGGGCCACTGACTGGTGACAGTATGAAAAAAAAAATCTATATATATTTTTTTTTTTTTTTTAATTTTTTATTACATTTTTTTTATTTTTTTTTAAGATTTTTTTTTTCATATTTTACTATGATCAAAATAGTACAATGTTACCATAGTAACATTGTACTACTTTGGGGAAGTGATCAGTATTTTTTTTTTTTTCTACACAATTTGCTTATAGCAAAGAATTACTTTGCTATAAGCAAGCATTTACCTGAATGAAATCGATTCATTCAGGTTTTTTTTTTTTTTTTTTGTGCTTAGCTGTGATTTGGTCACAGCTAATCACATGACATGTGCATGTGATTAGCTGTGACCATTCACAGCTAGGCACTAATATACAATGGATGGCATGAATGAAGCCATCCATTGTATACAACTGTCATGTGACCTGCTGTGATTGGTCACAGCAGGTCACATGGTACCAGCAACAGGGGCCGGTACTCAGATCTGTCATCGGCCGTGTCCGAGGTACACGGCCGGTGACAGATTGCACCGCTGCGCGGCTCTGCATTAGCGCAAACTGCGCATGTGCGGGTGCACGCTAAATGGCGTGCACCCGGAATGCCGAAGCACTTTTGAAGCCGCCAAACAGCCATTGGCCGGGCGGCTAATGGTTAAATTACACACAGGTGTACTCTATTTACTAATTAGGTGACTTCTGAAGGCAATTGATTCTACTAGATTTTAGTTAGGGGTATCAGTAAAGGGGGCTGAATACAACACTTTTCAGATATTTGTAAAAATTTTTGAAAACCACTTATTATTTTCCTTCAACTTCACAATTTTGTGCCGCTTTGTGTTGGTCTATCACAAAAAATCCCAATAAAATACATTTATATTTTTGGTGGTAACATGACAAAATGTGGAAGTTTTCAAGGGGTATGAATACTTTTTCAAGGCACTGTATACTGTTACAACTATAGGGAACTCAAACACTAAAATCGAAATTAAGCTTTAAAATGTATTAATGTAATTTTACTTCTTTTGTGAATGAGAATGAGAATGGGTACAATGTGTCCCTTACTCAATTACATGGCAGGTGGTATCTGGGTGCCCCCTTATTGTTAAAGAGGGCTTTCAAATTCCAATAAGCCCTCTTCCTGCAGACCCACACAACCACCTTTGTGGGGAAGAGTCCCTTTTCCTCATGAACATGGGAACAAGGTGCTTTTCCAGGGAGGTACTCTCCATGATGAGGACATGTGGTCTGGTATGATTCAGGAGGGGGGTGTGCACTCAATCCCCCTTTTCTGGCCTGCCAGGCTACATGCTTGGATAAATGCCTGTATGGATTTTGGAGGGGACCTTATGCTTTTTTTCTTGAATTTTGCACAGGGTTCATCCCTGAAATCCATGCCAGACCCTTTTTTGGGTGGGACCCACCTTAAAATTCATATAAGAACTAAGGGGCCTTGTAACAATTAGGGGTGAACCCCATTAAATGTTTTATTTTGTGGGGATCCCTCATTAACATCTATACTTGACCCATATCTAGGATAAGGGTCTTGTATACTGTAGATCAGGGGTCTTCAAAGCTTCTAAACAAAGGGCCGGTTTAGTGTCCTTAAGACTTTGAGGGGGCCGGACTGTGGCCAGTGAAAGCAGACAATGCTCTGACTTTGATGGGAGTAAACATTAGTGGCAGGAATATTGCCCCATTGTTGGGACCAGGGGAGGGAAAAGTGCCCCATTATTGGGGTCATTGGTAGGAATAGTGCCTTATTGTTGGTATCAGTGACAGGGATTATGCCCTGTTGTTGATGTCAGTGGTAGGAATAGTGCCCAAAGGGCCAGATAGAAGCACGGAAAGGGCCACATCTGGCCTACAGGTCATAGTTTGGAGCCCACTGCTGTAGATGAAGGCAATTTAAACACATTTTTTTTTTCTTTGTGATTGTTTTGCTATAGTAGGTTGTCATTTTGCTATCTTATAGATGATTTTTGCTGTTTTCCCCCAATCTGCAAGTAACATCTGAGACACCTGATGGATAATGGACTAATTAATTTAGTTGATGGAGCCATGTGCAGTGGGAGGAGTTTTTACAGAGATTGTTTTTGTGTCTAGTATTTAAATATGTTTGTTCTGAATTGTTTTATGGCTATGAATAAGGTTTTTTACCAAAATGCGTAAGATGCTGTAACTTGCACACTGTACCCTTTATTCAGAAACTATTTTTATCGGGAGAACAAGCTGCTGACTCTTCACCTTATATTCTCATGCTGTTTAAAGTGCCAGAAAGACACTGTGAGCTTTGGAGCACCATTGGTCTGCCTCCAGGGGAAATCAACTTAGGTGTACATTTTCGTTTGTGGACATTGCACAGATGCACTGATTCATAGGCAGACTCAGGGTATCCCCATGCATGTTATTTAATTTTGCATTTCTAATATTTCACTATTGGCATTACTAAAGTAGTTGCTTCTCACTAAACTGAATTTTTCAAATGTTTTTTGCATTGGTCTATTGTTATGGTGCAGTACTGTACTTTCTAGATTTTTTACATTTTAATTAACCTCTTCACGCCGGCCGAACGCAAATGCGCGCCCTCCCGGATTCTGGGCCTAGACGGCGAGCGGCCCGCACATTTGCGTTCTATTAAAAAAGAACATATGTGCTGAGAGCGCGCACCCTCCGCGCACACATGTCCGGTACTCACGGAAAGGTCCCGATCTCCTCTTTCGATCGGGAACTGTCCCGATCATGTGACCGCCGCGACGGCGTGTCACGGTGGTCATATGACCCTAAACTCCTCCCCGCCCCCGGATTCTGAAACCCTTAAAGGGCCGGGAGGCACCGGCATGAAGGGGTTAAACTGTATCTAAACCTAAAAACAAAAATGTAATACTGAGATTTAACTGTCTAATATTATAATAATATTATAATATTACTGTTATAACATGCTTCGTTTCTTAGGGTGGCTCCTATTTCTATGGAGGAGCAACGGCGACACCCTTGGACATTAGCACTGTCTAGAGATAGTACAATGGACTAGTAGATTTGGAATGACCTTGCATAAGTGACTAACAAATTAATACAACAAAAAACATATGGTAACTTAGCACTCACAGTCTTATGGAGAAATGGCCCACAGATGGAATACAGTAGTCTGTGCAATGAGTCCTGTGCAGATCCTGATCCTACCAAGAGGGTAATTGGATGAACGGAAGATTGGATACTGGTCCGGCTATGGAGATAGTCCTATGCTGGATGGGTCGATGGATGGATCAAGAAACAGAGGTCCGTGATCACATTCAGGGCGAAGAAGTATCAACCTGACCATGGGAGGATAAAGGGATGGCTCACTGGGGGATCAGTGAAGTGGAGAGGTGATAAACTCTGCAGCTCCTCAGTGGTGATATATCAGGGAGAGATCCATGGCAGCTTGCAAGGGGAACAAAGTAGCCAAGGCTCAAGAGTAAGTAAAAACACTGTAACACTTTAACCGCTTGCCCGCCACCCTATAGCAGAAATACTGCTACAGGACGGCAAGGCTGTGCAAAACCACGTATATATAGAGGCCTCAGCTGTCGATCACTGGGTCCCAGCCAGGGGCGGACTGACAACTCATGGGGCCCCCGGGCAATAGGGGATCATGGGGCCCCTATGTCCTTGCCCAAACTCAAAAAAGCCTATGAAAAAGGTACCAGGGGCATCTCATGGGGCCCCCTACTGACCCCGGGCCCTCGGGCATTGCCCGAGTTTCCAAATGGTCAGTCCGCCCCTGGTCCCAGCCAATGATTCCCCGCCAGCACCCGGCGATCGCCGAATATCACTGACGGGGAGAGGTCTGTATGTAAAGAATAAAGATTTCTCCCCTGTCAGCTCCTGCACACTGCTTTGTATGGCTCTGCATAGCAGAGCCATACAAAGCAATATGCTTACACAGTAAAACACACACATCACACAGTTAACCCTTTGATCGCCCCAGATGTTAACCCCTTCCTGCCCAGTGTCATTAGTACAGTGTCAGTGCTTTTTATTAGCACTGATCACTGTATTAGTGTCACTGGGGATGTCAGTGTCAGAATGCCCACCGCAGTCCCACAGTCCCGCTATAAGTCGCTGATCACCACCATTACTAGTGTAAAAAAAAAAATCCTAGTATATATACCGTCATTTGTAGACGCTATAACTTACACGTAAACCAACTAGTTTACACGTATTTGGATTTTTTTTAGCAAAGATATATAGCAGAACACATTTTGGCCTAAATTTATGATGAAATTAGATTTTAGATTTTTTAAAAATTTTTATTGGACATGTTTAATAGCAATAAGTCAAAAATATTGTTTTGTTTCTCAAAATTGTTGGTCTTTTTTGTTTATAGCGCAAAAAACAAAGAACGCAGAGGTGATCAAATACCACCGAAAGAAAGCTTCATTGTGGGAAAAAAGGACAAAAATTTTATTTTGGGTGCAGCGTTGCATGACCGTGCAATAGTTCATTAAAGCAACGCAGCATCATATTGCAAAAAATGGCCTGGTCAGGAAGGGGACTCGCCAAGAAATTACGCAGTGGCCATCCTCACCATCCAGGGCCCCCCGGGTGTGAGTGGGTGGGCGCAATGCATTTCAGAAGATCCACCTCCTTTGTCAACATTTGGGTTAAAGGTTTTACCTATAAAAACGGATCATCGTAAGGACCCCTGTCAGTGTTAAAAAGTTTGTCCTGACCTTCTAACTGCTACTTTTCCTGCACAGCTTGGTCTGTTGAAAAATCAGAAAAACAAAAACTACTTTACTAGTTAACAGTAGTGACAGTCTACATCATATGGCATTTTTGATTTTGTCTTTCAATTATCTACATTCAACTCTATTCGTGACAGCGTTATGTAATGTGTTGCCATGCATTGTAAAGCACTGTGTTGCAATAAAATGTATACCTGCACCATTTTATGTCAGCACACTCAAAAACAGCAGCTTGGTATGAACAGGACCTATACAAAGCAAGGATTTGGGCCTTTTCTATACTTCAGGAATGCACTGGCCAATGCTGCCCAATGTGGCTGGTGTGAATGAGCTCTAACACACAGACAAGAACATCTGTGAATGGGAATTCCAGTGCATCACAACTAAGGTGTCCATTTATGAACCAGCGGTAATAGATCGCTGCTCAGTTCTTCGGCATTCTCGGAGAACACAGTTCTCCTGTGAATGCAGTTTATGAAGCAGTTCTCCAAACGAAGGGAGAACGATCTCCAAACGCTGGAGAACGGTCTTCAAACTCTGGAAAACGGCTGATTTTACTATAATCTCGCGAGATTACAGTAAAAGATCAGTTTACTAAACAGAGGTAAATTATCTCTGCTTAGTTTGCGGTTCCTCTGATTCTCCAGCTCTGGGCTGGAGATCTGGAGGGAGAACACAGATCTCCAGCGAAGGGCTGACATGATCTCCTGGGTGTCATAAACTGTGAATGACCAGAGAATAGCTGAGATCCGTTGAATCGCAGCTATTCTCTGTGTCATAAACGGACACCTATGTACTAATTACAATTTACAAATTTTTATTATTAGCACATCGCAGTTGTATCTTTTATGTTTAGTAAGAATTTTGTAGGTTATGTTGTACTTTTTTGCACTAATTTTAGTGTATTTTTATAGAAAATTAGATTTTGATATATGAATATATCATGTAAATCTGCAAATAATGTTTAATGAAAAATAACACATAAAATAAGTGATGGTGGGTGGGAAAATGGCAATGTCGGCCATGCTCAGGCTAGGAACGGGAAAAGGAGGAATGTTTTGAGTTCTTTACCGGGAGGGAGAAGAGGTGAAAATAGAAGAGGAGAGGGAGTAAAGGGAGGAGGAGGGCCAGGAGGATGAAGAGGTGAAGGGAAGGAGGAGAAGAAGGAGGATGAGGTGAAGGAAGAGGCAGCCTGGCCAACTTGAGCTCCAGTATGTGGGGGTGTTTAAAATAAGGTGGTGGGCAGGCTGCTGGTGTGTGCACTGGATTTCTATCAGGTGAACAGTGGAAAAACACACTGCCAGACAAACACTGGCCAACAAGACGCCACAAAACCTTCTAGCCTGACGAAGGATTGGTACTACTGCACTGCTAGGTTGAGGACATGAGCCAGGCAAGGTACAGGTGTGACTTTTCCCAGGCAAAGGGTGATCAACAGGTTAGTGCCATTGTCACACACGAAGTTGCTGAAGATGGCACCTGTTATGGCCAGTATAGGTCCTGTCCTCCAGGTATATGAGCTGAAACACTGCATGGCAGCATTTAGCCTGGGATGCTGCATATGCTGTGGGTGCTTAAGGAGGGATTGCTGACTCCAAGAAGTCAGAGGATGATACTAGTAAGTAGTAGGGGGTACAGATTAATGCACTGTCATATTGAACATAGTGGTACCACCAGCTCCAGCAGTGTGCTTACTGGACCACAGGCCTTTCACCTGGGGTGTGGGCATGTAGTGCATTATTTTTTTCAAAGGATGCAGTGGGGTGATGTCATTGACCAGATATGGATATGACCATATTTGATCAATTACATCACCTGAGATTCCTCGTGACATCACTGATCAAATATGGTAATTTCCAAATTTGGTCTATGACATCACCTGTGATAATATCACCTTTGATAGCCCCGCCCATTCTGTTGTAAGCTAGACAACTGTCTTTTGCATCGAGAAGTCCTCCGAATTTGATCACGATGGCAGTTGGCATAGTTTTCTTTCAGCGTTATGTTCGAAATGGATCTACACTCACTGGCCACTTTGTTAGGTATACCTTGCTAGTGCCAAGAAAATATTGCCCACACCATTACACCACCACCAGCCTGAACTGTTAATACAAGGAAAGATGGATCCATGCTTTCATGTTTTTTTTTACGCCAAATTCTGACCCTACCATCTGAATGTTACATCTGAACCAGTCTGCCCATTCTCCTCTGACCACTGACATCAACAAGGCATTTTCACCCACACAACTGCCATTCTCTGTAAACCCTAGAAATGGCTTTGCATGAAAATCCCAGTAGATCAGCATTTTTTTTAAATACTTAGACCAGCCTGTCTGGCACCAACAACCATGCCACATTCAAAGTTACTTGAATACCCTATATTCCCCATTCTGATGCTCGGTTTGAACTTCAGCAAGTCGTCTTCACCACATCTAGATGCCTGCATGCATTGAGTTGCTGCCATGTGATTGGCTGATTAGCAATTGTTTGTACCAAGCAATTGAACAGGTATACCCTAAGTAAAGGACTTGTATCAGTGTGTTTATTAGAGAAATAATATGATGCAGAGCAAATATATGTATAGATCTATATTGGGCAAGAAATAACACAGAAGATCCTTCATATCCCAATAGCAATTATGTTTCCCTTCAGCCTGTCAAGTACATTAGTGGTGACAATAAATTACTATTATGATAGTCCAACCAAAATAAATATTTAGGTTGCTGCAGCCACAACCCATCTCTACAGACTCTTTTTGCTTCATCTGTCATAAAAAAAATTTCTGAGGATGGCATCACTTAACCAAATGAATGATGCAAATTGTAAAACAAAACGTTGCCCAGATCAATCTTCATTCAAATAAAGAAATTTGCCTACGTCTCCATATCATGGATGTTTTCATGAGGTACCATAACATGGCTTTCATCTGTTCATTAAAAGCATCAAATTTTAAAGGGAAACTGTAAAAAGGTTGATCTCCTGGATGCCCCAGAGCGCTCACGGATTCCTTCTGCTGAACTCCACATCACTACAGGACTTATTAGTGATGTGGAATTTTAATGAAGGAACCAATGAGAGCTGCAGGAAACCCAAGAGTTCAACGCATATTTTTTTTTACCATGGACTTTCGGGAAACTTTGTGGAGTTCAGTAGTACATGTAGCAGTAGAGGTAAGTATTGTGTTTCTTCTTTACAAGTATGTGGTTGCTTGGGCTCTTTTTCTTGATTTGACAGAGTCTCTTAAATGGGAATTGGAGGGTTAACTAGCCAAGAGGAATAGGTGCCAACCAACCAGTGTGGAATGTATTACGTGGGATATACTAAGAAAACTTGAAATTCTCAATAAAACGTTTTACTTCCTGCGAGCCATGTGTGGCTCATTCCCCATTGGCTACTGTTATGAAATAACTGGAAAAAGTCCTATCCCTCCGTCGTACCTCTACATACCCTTACTGCAAAACGCCCTTTGAACACGTCTGTCGGCATTCCCCAGGTTTCCCTGGTCTCATTTCTGTAATTTATGCCTCCCTTAAAAGTAGGTCCTCCTCACCACCCCTGTCTTATGTCTCTCAATGGGAGCGAGATCTGGGTGTCTCGATTGCAGCGGAGGATTGGCGTAGGTCCTGGGGCATGGTGGGGAAATGTTCCTTTTAATACAGTCACTCTTGAGGCAGCCTACAAAGTTCTCTTTCGGTGGTACTGTGTCCCGGCTCGGACTACTCACTTTAATCCGACTGGTGGAGATAGGTGTTTCCGGAACTGTGGTCTACGCGGGGACGTCTTGCACATTTGGTGGTCGTGCCCGCGATTGATAGGCTTCTGGTCTAGGGTTTTTGGTTTGCTACAAATGCTATTTCATATTACGGTCCATAGGGATGCAAAGGTGGCCCTCTTGCATTGCCCAATTTTGGGTCTGTCTAGGTCTCAGCAGAAATTGGCATCCTACCTATTTATTTCGGCCAAACGGGCTATAGCTCAAGCTTGGAGAACCCCTTCGGTTGTCTTCCAGGGGGTGAAGACCCGGATGAATGCTATGTTGATCAATGAACAGATGTCTAGCATTCTTCAAGATTCTCATCCGAGATTCCTAAGGTTTGGGAACCTTGGATACGTTATTCATTGCCATCCCTGCCTCCTACTAGTTATGGCCTCTTATAGTCGCTGCCTGTGCTAGCCCTGGATCCGTGATTCTTCTAGTTTTCTTTTCCTCCATGTTTTCTTTCTGATTCCTTTCTTTTTTTGTTTTCTTTTCTTTTTCCTTTCTTCTAACCTTTTTTCTTTTTCCGGTAATACGTTTGATAACTGCTGCTATTATTTGGTTCGGCTTTTTGCTGTCCCTCCTTGATGTCATTGGATATTTCATTATTTGGCTAATACAAGTCAGCAGGATGTATCTGTTTATGTGTTATTGTTCTGCTCTGCCCCTCCATTGGCGTATCTTGAGCTTGTTGTATTCTTAAAACAAAACTTTTGTAGCCTCCCTGACGGTATTCCCAAGTGTAACTCGGGGTAAAGTTTCAGTACCACAAGCGGTAACCCCGAGCTACACTTGGGCTTACCATGCGGTGCTGCTCCGGGATCTGTTCTTCTCTTACCTTGTCCTGCGCTCCCGCGATGTCCCTCCTGCAGCGTCCCCTGTAATGTCCTCCGGCAGATGCCGGCATCTGTCTTCTGGGTTCCGTCCCCTGCAACGTTGGCACGTACAGGGACGGAACGGCAGGAAATTTGAAAATGACAAAAAGTGACATTCACTCAATTCACTAAAATAACAAGTAAAACATTACTGTATCAAACCATTTCACATACATTTTGTCCCGAATGCTTTGTCCCGTGCCCTGCCTGCATTTTTACTGTTCTTTCTGCCTGGAAACTGAGAAACGTCCATGGCGTCCAACAGCGATAGTAAATTAGAACTACTTACAGAATTGAGTGATAATGATTTGTGGGGAAATTCGTCATCAGACACTGAAAACGATTTTGCGACTTGGCGCTATATTTCAAATTTCAGTGTTTTTGGTTTGATTATATTATTGAATTAAATGTATTATTATTATTATATTATTATTTTTTATGATTATTTATTAAATTATAATTTATGATTTCGTGTTTCAAATTTTAACATACCCGGGATGTCTACTAGACTCTTGTGCAGACAGATTTCAGTGAGTTATTCCTAAAAATTATAGGCCTACAAAAAAAAAATACATATTTCCATGCAAAAAAATGTACCGCTTTGAGCACAGAAATATGGACATAATCAGACCACTAGGGATGTTAATAAAAATACTGAAACAGAAATAACTGGAAAAAAAGAAACTTTATTTATGTGCAAGCAGTCTATGGTGACCCTGAAAATGCTTAATAAACATATATTTAGTGGACTGAGCCTCACCAAGTTGTTGGACACAGACAGGCAACCAATATCCTTGATGAGCTCTGGTGCCTTGTCTACAATGTCTACAACCCTATTTTCAAGCTCCATGAGGCTCGTCTTCCTGCAGCATTTCCCAATGGTCCAAGGAATTTTGCAGCTATGACACAGAATCCCAAACACAACCTCTTATATTTACAGAAAGAAGAACACCATATATATGTAATAAGCAACAAAATAGTTTTTAAAGTGTAACCCCCTAGAAATTTTTTTGGGATTGTGTGAGGAAGGGTTAAGCATCCATGTGAATATTTTAATACAGTTGGTGTCCCTATTGTGGGTAGGACCTTGTATATGAAAATAGGTGACCTTGCAAGCTTTATTGTCCTAAAGTAGTTAATACCTTAATAGTCATACATCTGGTTACTGCTGCCTATTGTCTATGCTGTTGTCTAATTTCTGATCATGTCTTAGCCTTTTTATATAAACCCCATTTAAAATTGTTTATAGGTGTGTTGGTGTATTCGGGTCTAGATAAGGTCGATCATCACAGGTACAGAGCAGAATGGATATAGCAGCTCCTTCAGGAGTGATGCTACACTTGGATGATGACACACAGGAGTGCCCAGGCACAGGAAGTGCACTATTTTTAAGGCGCAATTTTAGATAAATTGTATATTTTTTTTTCAGCTTAAAAATAAACACTTTTTCTAGCTTCTTCTTAAAAGATACCAAATTTTCACTTTTCAAGTTCAGGTCCACATTTATATGTTATAGCTTATATAACATTTCTTAGTTTGGGCTCATATATACTTTAAGTGGGTAGGTAGAGTGACTCCAAATTAACTGTTTGCTCCCTTCAGTAGCTAATCCGCTTGTAAACATTATATTAAAAAAGTTACCAGATATAGCACCACTCCAAGCATTTTTTTAACAATTACATTTTCTGCAAGACCCCTTTCACAGATCCCCTGCTGATTGGAGCACAGATGACACATCCGTGTCTGCTCAGTTTCTGCAGAACGGACATGAACAGAGCCCTCTCTGCTCTAAATTCGATCCAATCCACTTGAACAGAAGAGAACGAATCCCCTTCCTTTTTTTTTAGCAGACCTGATGAGACACAAGTCTGTTTACACCCACCTGCCCATAGGAATGCATGGACCTTCCAAATCAGGTCTGAAAAACTGACAGGTGGACCTGATCAGATCGTTCATATGAAAAGGGCCCAAGTTTCTAGGTCTGTCATGTGACACATTGGGCCCTCTTTCTCTTCTCCTGCACTGAATGATGCTTCATTACACTGAGTGAAGAGCACTTTGATGACTCCCTCCTAATGGGCAGGTTTATGGTGCTCCGGATCTTACCAATGGACACCATTCAACCTGGAAGATGGAGAATATCTTGTGAAATGGGATTACCATAAGGAACAGCTCCAGATTGAAATTGACTATTGAAGCCTGAGCTAAGCCCCTGCTGGGGAACTATTTTATTTAAAACAACAACATTTTGCTTGATGTTGTACTTTATAACTACTGTATTAAAATACAGTTCATCCTCACTGAAAATTTACTTTCCTTTTAAAGTTGATTTTACTAAGCTTTTTACAGGTAAAAAAAAAAACAGCAAAAAACATAGTACAACCGTTTTTTTGTTATAAATCACACATATAGCAACAGTAAATGACAGGCGCACAAAGAAGGTAAAAGGTAAATTAAAAGGTTTAGCTGAAGTTCCATATTTAGAACTGTAGGTTCTAGTGTGAATTTAATGATGGAGGGGATGGCCAATCTACAGTATGTGCCCAATTTTTACAAGTCATCTCAAATTCTGTTTTTTATTTTAGTGCGTTTTCAGCAACTCCTCCATGCTTCGATACAAGGGAGGGGCTAGCAGGAATTTTGGGTGGGGGGGTTAAGGAGGCATTTTCTCCCTGGACCAGTACTAATATAATATAATATATTGGGCTTGAGGCCCTGAGTGGAGATCCACCACTAATCAGACAAAATGAAATCCACAGTCAGTGCCACAGGCTGGGCATCCTCGCATACAGATCTGTAATCTCAGCATTTGGCAGGGAAAAGTCTTCCAGCACCAACTTACTTCCAGGCTTTGCAATGTCATGTAACCCAATGCAGAGCCTTCTCCCTAGACTGAAAGAGTTAAATGGTTATGTTTGCTCCCCAGGCCAAAAGTCCTTGGTTTCCTTGAGAATTGTTTTTCAACTCATTCCTTTATACATTAAACATGCCTAATTAAAGAACCAATGATATGTTTTTTGTCTTTTGTTCACTCACAAATGGGTAATCTCCACCGACTGTCTGGTGCCAGCTTCAGATGCTTTTCTCCTGCACAAGCAGTCCATTTTACAATAGACAATCATAAAAAACTGATTCCTCAGTTTGGCTGTTACATAAATTAAAGAAAAGGAGTGCAGCATTGGGAAAATGTTCCAAATAACAAGCATCCACACAAAGCCAAATTCTTTCTTACCATACTGTTCAGTTAGATTTACTATACTATACAAAACACATATTAGGAAAGACACAGCTGTATATATTATCATCTTATGATAGGTGCCTATACTACTCATTTTATTCCTATGAGTTTTCATTTGGTTAATGTGGAAACCCAGCGAAATAACAAGAAGGACTGAAGATGCAAAGAATATGAGAAGAAGAACAATATTCCAAAAAAAATTGAAATACAATTTTTGCTGTAGATATTGGTCATCTTTGAGAAGGTCGGAATAAGATAAATGTTCAAAATCTATATGAAAAGTAACCAAAAAAAACATAAGGGCATATCCAAATGAAAACAGTGCAGAAGCAATAATAAGGGAAAGGACTCTCTGAGATATATTGGTCTTTAGACGTAAGAAGAAAACGTTGTTGAAATTGGAGATCTTTAAGCAGAAGAAAATGGAGAGTAGAGCAGATAACAAGATGCTGGAAAAACCTGATGTTAACCCAGTGAACAAACTCAAAACAAAATATGCTACACGTAGCTCTGCAGAACAAGTATATGAAAGGATTTGCAAAAGGTAGCAAATAAGACTGAAGATCCTTGATATCCCGATAGAGGTGATAATTTGGTCAGTAGGCGTCACTGACCTTCCCTTAAGGCAGTCAATGACATTAACGGCCACAATGAACGATTGCAGCATTAGCGCAGCCAAAATGAATATTCCAGTCATAGCCATGGAAACCCAAAATTGTTCATCAGAAGGAAAACCACATTCTCCCACTGTAGAATTGGCCATCTTTTCAGTCCTGTACTTCACCTGTTTTTTAAAAAAGTACCAAACATATCTTGTATTTACTGAGGAAACCACTTAACTAAACATATGATGTACATGGTAATGTGAAACATTGGCCAGATCAAAGTTCATTCAAATAAAGATATGTGAAAATTTGACTAGGTATCTATATCATAGATGTCATGAAATGCTATAACACCTGCTGGGGTTGCTTGTCTATGATTTTGTGTGTCACCAGCACCAAGGATAAATGGAAACTGTAAATCTATTTTAGTGATTACACATTTGAGTTATTGTTGTAAGTTAGCCTTATAGTAAGTAAAGCCAAAACGATTTTGTTTCATGCTTGAGTGTAGAAAATTTGGCAAACCCTCCCTAACTCAAATGTCCAAAGAAGGAGGTGGGGGTATTTTTATTGAAAAGTTATAGTGGAATCTAGACGCCAACTTTATAGTAAAGAGTCCCCAATTATTCCCAGGGGAATGAGTATCGGAGCATTACCCATTCCCATTAAGAATGTTTTGTTTTATTTTTTTACATTCTTTATAGTCGTTTTTCATAATTTACAACAATTAAAAAAAGAATCAAGGTACAAGAGGTGGCAGTATCATCCTAATGGGACTTACAAACCTGCAGTATATTACAAGTCTAGATAATATATAAATACATAACTCTCAAGATGTGACACGCATTATGCAACCTCAAGTAAAAATAACAGCTGAAATAGCTTCATATGATGAAAGATGACACCTGACAATGCCCTGCCATTAATCTTGCCACGAGGTAAAAAAAAAATAATGAAAAAAATTGAACATACTTATAACACAGGAAGAGACAAGGAAGGAGAGGAATAAAAAAAAAAAACAAAGGGGGATGGGGAGAAAATATTTGATGTCAAGTCCCTGGGTAAGGAGAGCTGGGTACCTTGGGACACCCCCTTGACACCCCTGCCCCATCTAGAGAGCAACACAGGTGTCCTCATACTCAACATATTCGAATGACAAATCCGATACTTTACAAGAATCAACCCACCGAGATCTTCTCAAATTCCTCCATGCAAGAAAACTTGATCCAGTAAAACCATAATTGATAAATTGTTTATGTATGTTATGTAGCTATATGTTTAGACCTTCCATTTCCCTGATGTCTTCCACTTTGAGAAGTCATTGCTGTAAAGT